GACAAATTGTAACAATGCTGTTATTTTATCAGGTTGCTACAAGGTTGTCATTCTCAACTTGTAATCAACCTGTTGAATTACATGACGACAACAAGTTGTTGGAACAACTTGTAACAAGTCTGTTGAGCTGAACAACCTTGTAGCAAGTTGTCAACAAGCTGGGAACAAGCAGTGCGAACACATCCTGTTGACAAGTTGTTGGAACAGCATTGCTACAAGTCTGCCGCATGTTTACATACTTGTGCGTTTTTACTAGTGTGGCGTATACCCAATACAGTTATCATTCATACACACGTAAAAATGCACAAGTTGTTACAGGTCTGCAAAAAAAGTTGTTACAAATCTGTTCACAACAACTTGTAACAAGCTTGATGGCATTATTTGCAGTAATAAATTTACGTGGTGTTTCCACAAACAAAACTATTATATTATCAGACTTGTTACAAGGTTGTTCTATCAAGTCTGATACAGTCATGATATAACAAGAATGTTACAAGGTTGACGACACAAGGTTGTAACAAAATTGTTATATCATGACTTTATCGGATTTGTTGGAACAACCTTGCAACAAGTCGGATAATATCAACAAACTTGTTAGAAATTGTTAACAGCTTGTTCCAAACTTGTTGACAACTTTGGACAAGCGGTGCAAACACAACTTGTCGACGGCTTGTTGCCAGACTTGCTGTCCGGCCAAAACATACGGGTAAAATCGGTCTTACATGTACATATAGTCTCGGTTTTCAGAATTATATTGAACTCTGTCTCGATCGATAGTGATAACTTTTGTAGGTTTGTCCTGGCTGGTGAATGCAAATCTTCAATGAAATGTTTTGGTTTTGTTTAGTCTGAGGAGGCAGAACAGAGGTTGCCGTCGGAAGTTGTGTACATGTTGAAAAGTGTCAGGTTAGTTTAACCCAGAGAAAACTATTGTTGTCATCTCTGGGGCGGATCTACTTGGGGGGGGAGGGGTGTTGCGTACCTCACCTAGTCGTGTCTAGTACACCCTAATACAAGACCATTTCGCAAACAAGACAATTCATTTTTGACATTTCTTGATAACTAACGATTGTATTATTTATTTATTTCAGAGTGTTCGGCCATTTTGAGAAGCCGTTATTTATTGAACTATGCAAACATATCGAGACAAAATTTTTGCCTGCAAATACAGTCCTGTCAAGCGAAGGAGTTGTAAGTATTTCGAATAGCGGAGGAATTTTACCTCAGTGGCACGAGAAAAGAGTACAGGGGTACTCTCATTTTGAGAACACAGGCACGGCTTGTTTTTTTCAGATCCCTAGGGAGAACAAGTTAGAACAGATGGAGCTGTACACACTATAAAAATAGAATATAAAGTTAGTTGATTAAGTTTTATAGTATCTACATTCAACAAACCTTAACTATCGTAAATAATTTTTTTAAGCACCAAGAAGGCTTCAAATTTTTTGTGTAATATTTAGTGCATTTTAATAAAGTGTTGTTATATAATCGTATATTGTAATGACATCATCCAAAATGCAAAAGTAACATTCTTGTTTGAGAAAACAGTTGTGGTAAAAATGTTTCTGACTGTTGGTTATGGCAAGATACATTTATTTTGACGTAGGAATTTTGCATAGTATATCAAGATTTTGGGCACTGACCTCGTTCGATATAACTGACCTACCGGGAACAGCAACAAAAAGTGCAACTTTAGGCCCTCATTTTTCATAGTGGACTTCCATGAAGAACAGTTGAGAACAGATATAGCTATCCAGTATAAATACAGTACATAGTCAAACTACTTAAGTTTTCTCCTGGGATAACACTGGACCAGTAAGCGATGGCGGCTACTAGGATCTGTACGAAGAACAGTTTAGAACTGCTGGTTCTATTCAGTTGAAATGCTTTTTGGCACACATTTATACGGTTCTGTATTTTTGTTCCAGGTTGACAGCAATATTTATGTAGTACAGAGTGGACTTCTGGTCGTTTCTATCGTTGAAAAGGTACATCATCCAGCTTTGATTTTTCCCCAGACTCTTTATATACAAGGTGACAGGTTATCTTGCTTTAATTATTACGTTTAAAGGTTTTCTGTTTTTGTATTTATAAAGATCAGGCTTTTAGCTGTGAAATGACACCTTTATCGAATCATTGCGATAAAGAATGACCAAATGTGATCTGACTTAAAGTGGTCGAAATCGCATTATTCGAACATTTGCCCAAATGCTTGTTGCCCATATTTGAGAAACGTACGGCATTGAGAGTTCAGTCTGCAGACGTCCAGTTCTGTAAAATGTTTTAGTCACTCAATTTCGATGTAAAATCGCGAGTAAAAGTTTATCAAAACTTGATGCTTATGCGTTGGACTTCAATTTAAATCCCAAATGAGAATAGTTTCAATATACTAAGACAATAGCTTTACATGCAATTCACAACGGTGGAAAAATGCGATTTAGACCGGCATTTTTAAATCGGATTGTATATTTAACTCTTGATCGCAATGATACAAGAAAGGTATCATTCGACAGCTAAACGTCTGACCTTTATTGGTATGAAAAAAGTAAATGGATAAACGTAATATACAAATTAATGCACTATAATATGCCAAAGCTGCATGGATTATCTTTTTTTATACACCCTGTACAGAGCCATATTTTGAAATATCAATCACGTTTTCTTTCAGGACGGCACGAAGCTGGCGTTGAAAAACGTTACTCCTGGCAACAGTGTTTTTAGTATGCTGGGGATTTTAGATGTTTTAACGGTATGTTGAAGGATGAATAGGACCATACATGTGCTTCAGTTACCCTATGAACAATAGGGTCGTTAGCTAGCAGGATGGCGACGCGGATGTAATGTATTATATAGGCTGGCGATGGATTTCACTTAAATTTCACTTTCTACTTTATTACTGTGGCTATAAAGTAGTACCTGTACTGTATGCCAGCTTTCGGCATACCAGCTTTCGGCATACATGTTGTACCTTACAGCCAGTGTTTTATAGCATTTGGTCCGCAGAGAGGCACATTTGGAGTAAGGGGGCATGCATCAGTCACACCTCAACTGTATATGTACAAGGATAAAATATACTATTACCAGCAGACAATTTAATAAAATACAAGAAAAAACATACTCCGAAGAATAACATCTTGTAAACTCAAGATATGAGCTATAACACAAGACAACAGTTTTGCGGTGATATTTCGACTCATTTTGACAATGACTTTGAAATAGAGTCGAAATATCACTGCAAAATTCTTGTCTTGTGTCATAGCTCATATCTTGAGTTTACAAGATATTATTCTTCGGAGTATGTTTTTCCTTGTATAAAATATACTGGTTAGAAGACGTCTATCAGTTTTAATCTCTTTTCTCGAGAGGTCCAGTTAAGGACCATCATCCATTATTGGCGTAAAATTAGTGTTCTTTCTAAAGATCCAGTAAGTGTCGTCCCCAAAATGCACGTAAGAATCTCACAGCCTGTCAACAAGATGTGTTCGCATTGCATGCTTGTCCCCAGTTGTTGACAAGTCTGGAACAAGTTCCTTTCATCTTGTAACAAGATTGATGAGGCCAGCAGACTCGCGACAAGCTGTTCCAACAAGTCTGACACTGTATGGTCTGCACGTATGCAGCAAGTTGTTATAACAAGACGATGACAATTACAAGCTCGTAGCAACTTGTTACAAACAGCCTGTATTAGTAGCAAGTCTGTTATCGGCATCAACTTTGTAAGATGATGATGACAACTTGTTCCAGACTTGTCACAACAACTGGGAACAAGCAGTGCGAACACATCCTGATATCGGCTTGACAACAACCTTGTTGCAACTTGTTTCCAGATCTGTAACAATTAACGTGCGCGTTTTTACGTGTGTAGTGCTATAAATTCTATTTCAGAACCATCCTCAGACATACGAAAAACTAGTTTCATATTAATCTGACACTGCAATCGACCAACGAAAAATTCGTTGGCTAGAGCGGGAACTCGCATCTTCGGGTATCTATAGACCGCCGCTCTACCTATTGAGCTATCGAGTCAACAGGGATTGGTAGCGAGTCTTATCCAATTTAAGTGCACGAAATATTTTCGTGACGACTTAAACGCTTGTCTTAGAGGACGCGCAGTGTTTCAATTCTATTTCAGAACCATCCTCAGAGATACGAAAAACTAGTTTCATATTAATCTGACACTGCAATCGACCAACGAAAAATTCGTTGGCTAGAGCGGGAACTCGCATCTTCGGGTGTCTAGACCGCCGCTCTACCTATTGAGCTATCGAGTCAACAGGGATTGACACCCGAAGATGCGAGTTCAAATCCCTCTCGAGCCAACGAATTTTTCGTTGGTCGATTGCAGTGTCAGATTAATATGAAACTAGTTTTTAGTACTAAAAACGCTCTGGTGTTTGGTAGAAGCTCTTTTTTCACCTGCAACATTATAATCACACAACTGCACGTGGCAGAAATTGAAACCCGATGGCATACTGTAGGTGTAAGACATTAACCACAACACTTAGCAAAACCTCAGGCAGTAAAATATAGAGTCTTATACAGTAGATATAATGTCTTTTGATTGCAGGGGACGTCACAAACGTACGAACACAAGGTGAAAGTCGTCGCGTCTGTCGATACGTATGTTTTAAAGTAAGTACTGCGAGTGATGAAAAATTTTAGTTTCTGAAAAATACGAGCATGCTGGCACATTGCCTTCTGGAATTCTTAGAACGATTCCAAAAATAGGTACGCAAGGCGTACATGTATCTGCGAAAAAACTTGATTCACATTTTGTATTTTCTTGAAAGGAACTGAATAATGGTGACATGGGACAATTGAAATATTTCATCACTTATTATAATAGCAGATAAGATTTAAAACAGGGCTGTACACAGCGGGGAGGGTGGCAGGGCAAGTGCTCCCCCCCCCCCACGCCCGCACCGAGAAAATTTAACTAACTTTATAATGTGATTATGATTGTAACAGATAATTATGCAGTCAGGAAATAAAAATTTCATGCAAACAATATTCAAAGTGTCTATACAGCCGGCTATTTAGTAAACTGTCACCTGTCAATTCAATCCATACTCATCAAATTTTCAAAACTTTATTGTAATCATATGAAGCAAAAGTTATCTCACTTGTTGTTTACACTTGCCAATGTTAACTGTTGAGTAACATACACAAAATATTTGGTGAACATGTCGAAGACCACTGAATAATTGAGAATGTTTTGAAGGTCATTAGTGAAGTATATAATTAAATTCCAGTTCTGTGCACGGTTAATGATATACCACACTGTTCGGTTTAACACGTACAGCACATTCACACAAAAACAATTGTGTTGTGGGAGATTATCGTTTTGAGTAGAAGGTATCACAAGTTTAGTTCTGTACATTGTGTGCCATTGATCAAATCTACCATATAATATATGATTATTCATTGTAGCTGTTAAGTTATTTTCCATACTAATGAATTTAGGTAAGATTGTCTTGCAAGTT